ACACTAAATTCAGGTTTGTGTTAACTTCAGTGTGAGACTAGAGGATGGATTAGAGAGGCCAACTCCAGGGCCCTGATCACATCTTTAAGATGGAAAGTCAAGTGCTCGCTTCGGCAGCACATATACTAGGATGGAAAGTCAGTCTTGCTGTTCATAATCTTTTCAGAAACATATTTAAAATATTTAGTGATAACACCCACGCGTACGTCTGTCTCTGCATATGAAGAAACACCAGGTGGGTGTTTATACTAATAGAGTTTGGGGCGATTACTAATTTCCTTCTTTTTACCTGTATTTTTTGAATTTTCTTCTAGAGTGTGCATTATTGTCTGAAACCGTGTTACACAAGTACTTGCAGTTCAGCGATGTTTTGTCACGACAGACCTGGGAAGAGACAGCAGCCTCAGCATCCAGACAGAGTCCTGCCCAGTTATGTAAAATAGACTTTTTCTCCAACCCTTCGTACAGCCCCTGGGACTCAGCAAGAGCTGACGGGGGTTGGGACCTGCTGGTCTCTAAGGCCGTGGAGAACATTTGATCGGTGGGTTATGCCGCTGAAGACCCTGTGGACTTGGGGAGAGACTGTACAGGGTTGTCGCTCTGCTAAGCAGCTGGGCAGGGTCCGCAGACGGTGGCCAGGTCCTTGCTTCTCTGGTTTCCCCGCTCAGAATGCCCAGCCCGCATCCGACCAGAAGAGGGCGCAGGTGAGGCCTTCAGTTACAGCGCGGGAGACGGCAAAGTGGGGTACACGCCTTTATAGTTTTTTATCGTGACCCTCAAACTTCGCAGGGGGCCACAAAATGTGGTAGCATGAAATAGGAGACCTCAGTGATCCTCACCTGTCGGCGGTAGCCCAGGGAAGTGGCCTCTCCCACCCCTGCTCCGGAAGAACAGGGCGCCAGGCCGCCCCAGTGTGCCCCACACTTCCTCCCCTGGAGAAGCCAAGCTGCTTTCTCGGGGCTTCCCGCCTCCCAGGAACCTAAGCCGTCCGCCGCACTGGTGTAGCCTGGGCCAAGGCGCTGTCAGGGCCCAGGCCCTTCACTTCTGCCGCACAGCGGGGCCAGGCGAGGGCTATCGGTGGGTCCCTAACCCTTGCACACCCCCAAACCCCAGCGTCAGCCTCTGCCCCATCCTGGAGGGCGCTGGTCTGGTCTCCACTCCCTGTGGCACCTCTGAGGAAAAGCTAAGGATTTTAGAGGGAGAGGAGGGGACGGAAGCAAACTACCAATTCCGCAAGATAAATGTAATTGCGTATCACAAACATATACTGATTTTTAAAGGGAGCAAAGGATTCTGGATGAGACAAGGAAATATGCTGATGCAGGTTTGCTACTACACCCAAAGAAAAACCGTCCTGGAGAAGAAACTGTCCCTGAGATAGGACCCACCGGAAACCACTGCTCGGGGAGGCAATTCTAGAACTCAAGTGCCTGCCCTCCTAGAGAGTGAAAAGCAGCATGAGAAACCGGTTAGCTGTGAAGAGGTCACTGGGGAGAAGAGGAGGGCCGTCTTCCTTGGCTGCCTGGCAGAGGGGAGAACTGTGGACGGACAGCATTTGTTATCCAGTCAGCTCTGGGCAGCCACAGAAAGCTACAGAAACTCCCAACGGGCGCCCCTGGGCCCGAGGCTGGGTTCTGTGTTCCTTGTAAGAGAGCCTTGGAGGGTTGGGGAAAAAGGACAAGAACACACAGACCAGAACCACAGCCATCACCATCAGCAGTGCACTAACCGGGCCCACCAGGGTTCCTGGGAGACACAGAGGGCTGAGTACACCCAGCCGTGTCTGCTTGAAGCCACCCCTGAGCCCTGAGGGGAATCCAAAGACACAGAATAAATGGAAACTTGACTGCTGCTGCTCCTGAGAATGAGGCTGGGCACAAAGCCATGGCTGTCATAAAGGGGAGCAGAGGGGCCCAGGGGAACCCCAGGGAGCCCTCCATGTCACAATATGCAAAGTTTTTTTGTTTTGTTTTGTTTTGTTTTTGAGACAGGGTTTCACTAGTCCAGGTTGGCTTTGCATTTATGGTGATCCTCCTGCCTCAGCCTCCCAAGTGCTGAGACTACAGGTGTGGGCTACCACATTCAGTGCAAAGTCAATTTTTAACAGTCATGAGCTGTTGTTTGCTGTGTCCTAACCTTTTTCTCAGGATGCCATCTTCCAACACCATCACATGGTCACATGGTCACATGATGGGCTGGGGGAACTCCCAAAATTTGCTTCTGTACTGCAGTTCTGACTTGTCCATTTGAAGATGAGATCTTTGGCTGTTCTTTCCTCATTGCTCTTCAACATCCCACCCCCTGAAGGAGAAGAGATTTACTGACCTAGCCAGAGGCCACAGTGCAATGCAAACCGGGAATGGTCTCCACTGTATTCCCTCAAACTGATCAGATCTGACCCCTGATTTCCAGACCACTAAGTCCAGCCAATCCTGATGTGTAGGGGAAGGGAGTTCCAGGCCAAGCTAAAACAGCTCAACCAGTTATCCTGCAGCTACAAATCCCCAGAAGTTGGACTGGGACTCCAGCGATGAGCTTATGGATTTGGACTTTTGGTCCTGCTGGTCCTGTGCAGTGCTCTTGGCCTCCCAGTCCACCCTCGGCAGCTGGAGAGGCTCAGGACTCGGGCTCATCCCTGAGGCAGTGGTCCCAGTCCACCCTGGGTGCCTCTTGTTCCATGACTTCCGTCTCCATGGGCTGAGCAGATGTGGGGGCCCCTTGGGCTGTCCCGCCCTTGATCCTGGAAGCCCAGTAAATCCCCTTACTGTACAGATATCTTCCACACATGACACGAAAAGGTCTGCAGGATGGTGTGGTCTTTTAGGTCACATGTGGTTGAATCTGTGGGCACAGAACCCGTGGATGCTGAGGGCAGCCTACAGTCAGAAGCATTGTGAGCTTTGGGGGTCAGCACCCCACCCCTGCTCCCTGTGGCTCAGCAGCCTCCCATGTGTGCTTCATGCCACTCCTGGACTCACCTCCTTAAGCCCCAGCTATGGCTTTCATGTAGGTACAGACTCTGGGTCCCTCAGCTGAGTGGGTCCTGGTGCCCGGGTTATTGACAAGCTCCCAGGCCCCTTAACGTGGCCACACATGGGCCCCCCGGATGGGGCTCTGTCTCAGTCACTTTCTCATCATGGGATACAATCCCAACAACCGCAACTTTAGGGAGGGGAGGTTTACTTTGGCTCATGTTTCATTCCATAGTTGACTGGCTCCAAGGCAAGACAGCAGGATCTGGCAGAGGAAAAGCTGCTCACCTCATGGAGAACAGAAAGCAGAAAGTCAAAGAGGCGCTGGGGAGGGAGATAAGCCCTTTCAGGTCACACCCACTGTGACCCACCTCTTCTGACCAGGCAGTACCTCCTAAGAGTAAGTCAGTTGTGTAAATCAGTTCAGGCTGACCTTGAACTCTGTGTAGTCCAGGCTGGTTTCCAGCAATTCTCCTGCCTCAGTCTCCTGAGTGTGTGATTATAGGCATACACCACCACACCCAGCTTATTACCAGGGATCGAACTCAGGACCTTGCGCTTCCGAGGCAGGCGGTGGAACCACTGAACTAACTGCCCACTCATTAACATCTTAGATCTCTACCTAGGTGTGATTTTTACACTACTAACAAGATAAAAGTAACTCTAAGCTACTTCAGTGACTATTCCACACATACATTTGTCCCTTGCTGCGTAGAACGTGGGAAGGCTCCTAACTGGGCTTTGGAGCAGGGCCCCTTACTCCCTGGCTCTGTGGGTTTGATCTGAATGAACTTGTCTCACCCCACCCTGCTTTTCGGTGTCTCTGTGGACCCCACAGTCTTTGGAGACTGAACTGACTTCATGTCCTCTTGTCCCCGAAGTGTTCCCTGAATTTCACGGCCTTGAAGACTAGGCCACTCTTACCCCCCCAATTTCCTGCTGTGCTTGTTTCCACATAAGACTGAGAGCTCGCCTCACTGATGTCGGAAGTCAAACTATTGGGGTCACTGAGCATCCCCAAACCTGTGCCGTGGGGAAGAGTGCACTTGGGGACAACCCAGCTATAATTGTATATGGGTGCGTGCAGCAGCCAGCGCCTGAGAAGTCAGGGTTTCCGTGAATTCAGTGTCCAGCTGCAAGATGCACATCCATCTGACCTTCGGACGTCCGGCCGTGGGGAAGGGGACTGTAAGTAGGGTAAGCAGAGCGCAGGCACTGCCTACCAGCCATGGTGTCACGGGGCTTTTCCTGGGGCACCTGACAGTTTTGCCACGACTGCCTGCCTTTGTTCTTGCCAGGAAAGACACTCGGGATCCCGCGGACCCTTTCTCAGACTGCGTGGGTTCGCTGGAGGGTAGCAGTCGGGATACATTCATGTGCGTGGAGGACCTGCTCGGGGTGGGACTGACGGTAGCTGGGTGACAACTGGGTCCTTTTCTAAACATTGGCCTGGGCAGCGGGTGACCAAAGCCTGGCTGGTGGGCTGGGGCCAGGCTGGCACCGTGCCTGCACCTGGCCCCCCTGATGGGCCGTCCCTCCCTGCCCGGCAGCAGCTGCCCCCTCCGCTCATCCCCTGTCCCGTGTCCCTCCCAAGCCTTTAGCACATTGCTGCCTCAGTCTTCCTCCAAGGACTTTACCTGGGAAATCTAAAGGTAGTGTTTTATAATATCGCACCGCCTTATAATTAAACAGCGACGTTTCCATGGGTCTTCCCTAAGATATGCAGATAATTTCAGGAAGACAGAATGTTTCAAAGAATTTAGCTATTTGATCTTTTAAATGATTCAACAATCATCTTCTGTTGTATGTAATGATACAATGGCCATAACGAGGGGCTTTTCTTCTGCAAGCTATTTCCACACTGACTTTACATTTTGTTCTGTATTTATTAATTGAAAATTAAAGCAGTGAACTATACCATATGTGGGGGTGAAAATATATTTTGATAGTGGGTTTTGTTCATTTTACTTCTTGCAGGATCCTTGCTCGGTATTTCAGACCTAAAAGAACTATGCCTGTTAAGTGCCTCTCAAAACTGACTGTAGGGCCAGGAATTTAGCTCAGTGGCATGGTGCCTGCCTCACAAGTGCAAGGTCCTGAATTCAATTCCCAGTAACCGCCCCCCGCAAAAAAAGACTGTAATTTATGGGTAAGCTAAAGTAATGCCTAGTCTGCTTCTTTGTTATTTTTGTGTTTTATTTATTTATTTATTTATTTATTTATTTTTGGGTAGGGGCGTGGGGGTGGGGTTGAACTCCACCTGTGCTTGCAAGGCAGAGAGCAGAACCACTGAGCTAAATCCCCAGCCTGTGTGGTTTTTAGACAGGATCTGCCTGTGTAGTCCAGGCTGGCCTTCAACTCACTATGCAGCTCAGGCTGGCTTCAACCCGACAGCAATCCTCCTGCCTCCACCTTCCAAGTGCTGGGCTTACAGGCATGCACTACCATGCCCAGACTTCACTGTTTTTCTCCAGAGTTTTGAGATGGGGTCTCACTATGTAGTTCAAGCTGGCCTTGAACTCGCTGTGTAGCTGAGGCTGGCCCCAAATCTCATAGACATCATCCTCCACAAACGTCTGGCACTTCACCTCATTTTAATTAGAACGCCTTCCTCCCGCTCTTGAGCTGAAGACTTCGCGACCGACCGGGTCACCCCTCTCCACGTTTCTGCCTTCTCCGCATAGGACCCGCAGACTCTCCTGTGACGTAGACCCAGTGTAACCTCTGGTCCCGAAAGCATTCTGGATGACTCCTCTCTTCCGGTGGGTGCACCGCCGGGCCTGCACAGTAGTTCTGGGCAGCGGCCTTGCTAACAGAAGCCATCTGCTGCGTCTGTGCCATCCTTGTAGCACAGGGGCTCCGGTTGATGCGCGCGGGCCGCACTTGTACCCTCCAGCCCAGCACCAAGGTGGGCACAGCCGATGCCAGGAGCTTGGCTGGCGCCACTGGGCCACTTCTGACGGCAGAGGCCCCAAGTGGCCGTGGGCGGAGTCACGGGGCTGTCACAAATGCCATAAATGTCATTGATTTCTTCAGTTCTCGAATAGACTCGTTGGCAAATTGAGATTTTTGAATGAATAAACAAACATGCAAAAAGAACCAAATCCTTATAAATCTTTGAATATTTTGCACTTTTCTGTAGGTTTTAAAAGATTTATATTTATGAGACTGTATCTGAGCTATTGATCTTCAACCCAGGAGAGGAAAATGGGTGCTGAGACACTGACCTGAAATTCTGGGAGGCTCTCGAAGATAGAATAGAGAAAGAGGGAGAGAGAGAAAGACCTTCCCAGCAATGGCTCCAACCATAAGCAAAAGCTTTACAGCTGGTGACCTTCTCCCTGAGGAAGCCCTGGTTGTTATGGAAACAGAAGGGTGCTAAATCCTTTGAGAGTTAAAAAATGCTACAACAAGGTTATATTCTAATTGATACAAAATAATTAAAATGACCAGGCATGGTGGCGCATGCCTGTAATCCCAGCAGTGGGGAGGCTGAGGCAGGATGATCGCTGTGAGTTCAAGACCAGCCTGGGCTACATAGTGAGTTCCAGGTCAGTCTCAACTACATAGTGAGACCCTATCTCAAAAACATCCCCCCAAAATTAAAATGTATAAAATGAATCTAGAGAAATGAAATAATTCCTATAAGTTACTGTGAAAGAGATCCCAATATACAATAAGGTTATTAGCCAGGTGCGGTGGCGCAGGCTTTTAATCCAAGCACTCAGGAGGCTGAGGCAAGAGTATCACCTGAGTCCCAGGCCAGCCTGAACACAAAGCCAGAGTCTCTTTCCAACAAAACCAACTCCCCCCAAAAGGAATAAGGTACAATTAAGATATAGCATTGGGCCGATGATTTAGCTCAGTGGTACCACGCCTGCCTGCAAGTGCAAGGTCCTGAGTTTGATTCCCTGGTACCAGGAAAAAAAGATACAGCATTAATAGTGCCGTAAAGTATGCCAGTGCAGGGAAATGCAAGAATGCTCAGTTCACCTATCTCTGTATTCAGTGTTGTCCTCACCTAATTGGGAATCAACTATGTAAAGTCAGAAAAATATAGTAACTTTTACACCAATGGTCCTGCACCAAACTTCAGAACCAAAATAGCTATTTCCTGTGTACAGCCAGACCTTCTTACCCCCATGACCTACTACAGCCACCCAGACAGAAACTCATAGAAAAAGGGCCGGGGATGTAGCTCAGTGGTGCTGCACCTGCGTGGCAAGTGCAAGGTCCTGAGTTCAATCCCCGGTACCACAAAGAAAAAAAATTCATCTAATAGAAATTAACACCTCAGCCACATGCGTATGTACACTTTGAAGCTGGCAAAACCGCCAAGCAACATTACAGCCTAATTCATCTCACGTCTCACACAGTGTAGGCTGAAGCTGAGCCATTGGGCTCCTCTGCTCCAGCAGAAATCCTGTGTTCTGCTCGTTTGTTTTTGGTTTTGGCAGATTCCTGTCCGATTTAATAAGGGAATTTGTTTGGAAACAATGGCTGTGAGTCTGCAGAAGCACAGGGCCCACTCGGCGCAGACAAGTGGATTATAGGGCCGTATTTCCTGGGCGCTCCCTTCCGGGTGCCAGGCTGTGGGCCCCCTCTTGCTCCCTGGCAGGCCTCTCCGCTGTCCCCACAGGGACGCCCCTGTCCTGGCTCTCCTTCCCTCTGTCTTGGGTGAATCTTCTCCCCCACGTCAGCTCATTTTCACTCCTTCTAGGAAACCTGTCAAATTCAGAGTGGCCCCTGTGCTTTGTGACATCATCTGGGTGGCATTCTGGTGTTTCGGATCCCTGGACTCTCCTCTCCGTGTCACTGTCATCCTGTGACTCCTCCCTGTGCACCCCTACAGGGCTCTCTGAGGTCCTGGCGCTCACCTAGGTGCAGGGGGCACAGGTTTTGAGACAGGGTCTCACTATGCAGTTCAGACTGGCCTTGAACCCACTATGTAGCTCGGGCTGGTCTTGAACTCACAGTGATCTTCCTGCATCAGCCTCCCATGTTAGGATTACAGGTATGTGCCACCACACCTGGCTAGTAGCCTTTTTTTTTTTAATTAGCACATCTGCACTACCTAATGATTACTTTCGTTATGGGGAGTTGGTATATATGCATAAAACATCTTAATTCTTTTTATGTCCCTCCTCAAGCCTTGCTAAAAGTTTTAGTACTCAAAAAAATAGTAAATAAATAAAAGTTTTAGTACTCAACCATTGTCAGTATTGCTTCAAACTAAGCAACCTGCTGTACCCCACCTTCTGTACACAGCATATTGTAAGAAACATATAGAGACATGGGTTTGATCAAAATACATGCATCGAAAGACCCCCCCAATGTAAAAGTGTGGGGAGTTATCAAAGTATGTTATGTGTGTGTATAAACCTGAAAACATGGGTCCCATATCAAAGAACTGGAACACAGGCTAGAATTCCTACAAATGCATAAATTAAAAGCCAAATTTTTAAAAATCATGACTTCCAGTTTTAAAAACATTTTAAAACTAAAAACAAAGACATGAACATTTTACAAAAGAAGATATAAAAAGTCAATAACTACATTTTTAAAAAATCCTCTTGGCGAGGGGATTTAACTCAGTGGTTCCACAGCCTGCCTCACAACTGCAAGGTCCTGAGTTCGATTCCCGGTACCAAAACAAAACAGAACTTCGTTATCAGCAGTTATTTGGAAATTGCAAAATTAAAACAAGATGCTATTTCGTACTCTCTAGAAACACCCTGAAGTTCTTAACCTGTCTTCAGTAGGAGGATAAAATGGTGCAACAACTTTGTAAAACTGCCAGGGAATGTTTGATAAAGTCAAACCTGCCAGAATGGCCCAGACACGCCCCACTTAAGATTTCCCTGGGAGGAATAAAACGCTCCGGCAAAGACACGCGGGTTATGTTTACAACGGCCTGGTCCATGGCTCCAAGTTGGGAGTAACTCGGCTGCCCACGCGCTGGTGAATAGACACAGCACTGGCTGGAATGCTTCTCAGCTAAAGCCGGTGGCCTCGGCAGTCGGACTGAACCCGGGAAGTTGGCAGGAGCCAGAAAGAGAGGGTGTGTGCAGGCACCAGAGAGGAACCCGGCCGGTCTCCCCAAATCGCCCTGGCTGGCTGTCCAATGAGTGCTACCCTTACCAAATCCCTTCTTCCAGCGTCCGTTGTGACTTTCCTACGACATCACACTTTTTACCTAGTCTCTTTGCTGATACAAAATTAACAGACGGTGAAGGGCATAGTTTTGGCTTAGTTTAGCTTTCAGTGTACAAATTGATGATTTCTGCTAAGTGTACAGTAGCGGTATAACTGTCAAGCAGTCTAGACGGGGACCTGCGCGGGGCGTGGTAGTGGCACACGCCTGTGATCCCAGCATTCTAGGAGGCTGAAGCAGGACGATCTCAAATTTCAACCCAGCCTGAGCAACTTGGCAATTTACCAGGACCCTGTCTCAAGATAAAAAAAGAAAAAGCTGGGGATGTAGCTCAGTGTGAAAGCCGTGGGTTTGACTCCTAGTACCAAACAAAAAAAAGCCAATAACCCAGTTTCCACGATTAAACAAGGACATCTCTAAAAACTGAGGCCGCTGAACCTGGGCGGCTCCCCGGCCCGGGTCTCCGTTCTCCCTCGGGGACTGGCGAGCCTTGTTCCTCCGCGTTAATTTCTCCCAGACTACGGAGAGTTACCGCGCCCGGGCGTAGTCTAGACCCGCCGAGCCCCGCCCTTTGGCCTAGCCCCTGTCCCCTCCCGCTTTAAAGTCCCGCCTCTTTTACCCAGCCCAACCAGCTCTAGTACCGTCCCTTTTCCTGTCAATCAAGTCAAACGTCGTAGATGGCGGCGAATCAGTGGCAAGCCTGGCTCAAAGGAAGAGGCGGGCGCTTTTCCAGGAAGTGCTAGGAAACCCACCCAATCAGAAGCTCCGTGAGGGAAGTTTGAATTTGCGCTGGGGCTCGGGCTCGGGTGGTACGCATTACCGAGTCAGAGGCAAAGGAGGACGTCCGGGCCCGTAGGACTTTCTTATTTTTACTTTGGCTGAGCTTTTACGCGAGAAGGTGCTTCAGGTAGGTGGGTTGGAGGCCCGCTTCCGGAGAAGGCCTGAGGCGGGGGGCTGTCGCCGTGTCACCCGCCCTCCCGAGGCCGAGGGCCGATCCTCCTGGAGACGACGTGCTGTTGTCGCGACCTGATCCACACCGCAGTCTTGTCTCGCCGCCGGGACCCGAGGTTTAGCATCCCTGGCCCCGACTTTAGGTCCTGGTAGCTCCTCCCAGACGCTGTGACGACTGAGACTGCCGGCGCTGGGGGTCTCTGGGTAAACAAGACTAACGCGCTAGCACTCTTCAGGGCGGACGAAACTCCGGGAAGCCGGGGGAGGCTTGGCAAGGTTGTAATCAAGTGTGCCTTTAATGTTAGCGCGCCGGGTGTTTTGAAAGGACCGGACACAGGTTTTAGCTTTTCTTTAACACTTAGCAAATTAGCGCCGGGCGCGCGTCTGTAACCCCAGCAATCCGGAGGGTAAGGCAGGAGGATCGCCGTGAGTTCGAGGTCAGCCTGGGCTACCTAGCGAGGCCTTGTCTCAAAAAAACCCAAACCAAACAAAAAAATTTAGCAAATTAATACTTGTAGGAGACAACAAATCACTTAATACAGTTCTTAGTGAACAGCACAGCTCATTGTCATTTTCTCTGGGCTCTTTAAGGAGGTTATTGGCATCCAGGTCAGATGGAGTCTCGATTTTTATCCACTGCTAATGGCTTAAAGTTACTGTGTGTAACCTTTAGTTTATTGCATTTTGTGTCGATTCATTTATTAGTTTTCTAGGGGACTTTCTTAGTTATTCTTGCTGAACAGTATAGTGTGCCTGTGACGCTAAAATATTCATATGGGCTCTGTCCCCGTTTCTCGGCCTGCAGTTCCTAAGATCCTTGGACTCAAAGTGATGTCGTTATAAACAGGCTAATGAGTTGTCCGCCGCCGGCACCTGTAGATACTGTCATTTCAGGTTGATGGTTGGGCACAGGAGAGACTCCAGCAAGAACAGAGGGTCTCAGCCCCAGCCCCACCTCGGGAGAGGGGAGAGTAGTGCCTGCGATGAAGCCTCCATAGAAAACTGGAAGGTTAAGGTTTTGAGGGCTCACGGAGGGAGAGGGCCTGGGACCTCCGTGCTGCTCCCGGGAGCCTCTCTTCACCTGAGTCCTTTAAGCTAAGCCCCCAGGTGTGTGTCGGCAGGTCCCTGAGCTCGCTGAGCTGCTCCCGCCAATCAGTGCGACCTAGGAAGGGCAGCTCGCTCAGCTCAGGCAGGACAACCTGTGGCTGGCACTGGCATCAAGCAGGAGGGCGGCAGTCTGGGGGACTGAACCCTTCGCCTGTGCGGTCCGGCGCTTCTCCAGGGGCAGAATCAGAAGGTATGGAGGCAGACCCTCAGCTGACCGCAAGGTTGAATGCTTGAGTGTGATGGTGGAAACTGAGCCCGCTTATTCCTGTATTCTGAGTACTTATACCTCTTCCAGCCTCCTAAGCACAGAGCTTCCCTCTCTCCCCCTCAGGTTATTATCCTGGAGAGCCATACTTTTTTCTATGGTTTACTTTGGTAGTTCTGCTACCGGCCATGTAGGTAGCCCCCTCAGACTGTCCACTTCCTCTTATCCCCCCAGTTGGGTGCATTATTAGGATTCATGACATTGTCTTCACTGCCCTTGTTTTGTTTGAATACATCCTCAAAGGCGGATGATACCGGGAATTGAATCCAGAGCCTCTCGCATGCTAGGCAAGGGCTGTACCACAGAACTACACTCCCCGCCCCTTAACGCCAGGGCCTTTTATTTTGAGGTTCATAAGTTGCCCAGGCTGGCTTTAAACTTGTGATCCTCTTGCCTCAGCCTCCCGAGTAGCTAGCTAGGATTACAAGCATGCTCCACCACACCCCAGCTTTAAAGTAGGAATATATATATATATACCAAGTAAATTAGGGATTTCTTTCTTTTTCATTTTTTGTACTAGCAATCAAACTCAGGTCCCTGGTCCAATTGTGTGATTTCTTGCATGGATGAAAATAATGGGGCAAACTGATCACCGTAGTAATTGTTCCTACAAACCCTTTTGCTCAGTCTTAAATATCCACTGGCCATATGTGACATATTGGGTGTTCTTTCCTTTTTGTGTTGTTTTGTTTTGTTTTGTTTTGTTTTGAGGTAGAGTCTCACTATAGCCTAGTCTAGTTTTTTTTTTGTTTTTGTTTTTTGGTACCGGGAATTGAACTCGGGTCCTTGAGCTTGCAAGGCAGGTGGTGTAACCACTGAGCTAAATCCCCGGCCCTGTTTTTGCTTTTTTGTGACATATTGGGTGTTCTTTCCTTTTTGTGTTGTTTTGTTTTGTTTTGTTTTGTTTTGAGGTAGAGTCTCACTATAGCCTAGTCTAGTTTTTTTTTTGTTTTTGTTTTTTGGTACCGGGAATTGAACTCGGGTCCTTGAGCTTGCAAGGCAGGTGGTGTAACCACTGAGCTAAATCCCCGGCCCTGTTTTTGCTTTTTTT